TTACTGAATCTCTTCGGACCCCAACTTCCTCACCTGTAAAATGGAAATATAAGGGGCCAGCACTGTGGCACAGTGGGTTAAAGCCCCACTCTGCAGTGCCGACATCCCATATGGGCGCCAGTTGGAGTCCCAGCTGCTCCATTTCTGATCCAGCTCTCTGCTATGGCCTGGGAAAGCAGTAGAAGATGGCCCAAGTCCTTCAGTCCCTGCACCTGTGTGGGAGACCTGGAAAAAGCTCCTGGCTCCTGGCTTTGGATCCGCCCAGCTCCTGCCATTGCAGCCATTTGGGGAGTGAACCAGTGGATGGAAGACCTTTCTCTCTCTATCTGCCTCTCTGTAACTCTGCCTTTCAAATAAATAAATAAATCTTTTTAAATAAATAAATAAAATGGAAATATAACTAGTTCTTAGAGTTGTGATAACACTATCAAGAGATAATGTATGGAAGGGCCAGTATTGTGGCATAGCGGGTAAAGCTGCCACTTGCAACACAGGCATCCCATATGGGTGCCGGGTCGAGTCCCAGCTTCTCTACTTCCAATCCAGCTTGGGAAAGCTGAATTTCTGATCTAGCTCTCTGGTATGGCTTGGGAAAGCAGTAGAAGACGGCCCAAGTGCTTGGCCCTTGTACCCACGTGGGAGACCTGGAAGAAGCTCCTGGCTCCTGGCTTCAGATCAGCCCAGCTCTGGCTGTTGCTGTCATTTGGGGAGTGAACCAGCGGATAGAAGACTTTGTCTCTCCCTCTCTGTCTGTAACTCTACCTCTCAAATAAATAATAAAGCTTTTTTAAAAGAGAGGGAAAGGGAGAGGGAGAGGGAGAGGGAGAGGGAGAGGGAGAGGGAGAGGGAGAGGGAGAGGGAGAGGGAGAGGGAGAGGGAGAGGGAGAGGGAGAGGGAGAGGGAGAGGGAGAGGGAGAGGGAGAGGGAGAGGGAGAGGGAGAGGGAGAGGGAGAGGGAGAGAACATGGAAAGCAACCCCAGGCAGTGCTTAACCACTGTGTTAGTTGTTCAGTAAATAGAAGCATAGATGCAATGGATGTGATTGACTGTGCCCCCTGCAGGAATCTTCTAACAATACAGCTCTCCTTGCCCCCTCTAAGGGAAATTAGGAATAAAAAAACAGTTTGTCCAGAAAATGAAACACTGGGCAAAATAACAGCTCAAGACATCCTTTGCTACCTCCCCAGGCTGTGTGAGCAGTGGGGAGGTAAGCACCAGCAATATTTTTTAAAGATTTATTTATTTATTTGAGAGGTAGAGCTACAGAGAGAGGGAGAGACAGAGAGAGAGGTCTTCCATCCGCTGGTTCACTCCCCAAATGGCCGCAATGGCAGGAGCTGAGCAGATCCGAAGCCAGGAGCCAGGAGCTTCTACCAGGTCTCTCATGCGGGAGCAGGGGCTCAGGGACTTGGGCCATCTTCTACTGCTTTCCCAGGCCCTAGCAGAGAGCTGGATTGGAAGAGGAGCAGCCGGGTCTCAAACTGATGCCCCTATGGGATGCCGGCACTGCAGGCGGCAGCTTTACCTGCTACGCCACGGCACCGGCCCCACCAGCATGATTGTAAGCACCACCTTCTCCTTCCCCAAGAAACGGAGCCTGGCAGGCTGCTGCCAGCCCCTGGTCTTTTCTAGCCTGAGTCAGAACTCTCCTTTTCCTTAAGGACTTTTATTTTTCCATGTCCTTTACATGTAAGTTGATTTGATTTTTACATCAACCTTGTGAGGTATTGGGAAAGAAGGAAGAAGTCTCAGATATGTTGAGTGTCTTCCAGGGGCCTGACATAATGCTGGGCACTGCTGTCTTCTCAATCCTTACAGTACCCTTGGGAAGGGCTACACTCCTCTTCATTTTATAAATCAGACCCTGAGTCCAGTGAGGTTTTGCTTTGTTTTATATATATATATACATTTCCTTCTAATTCCATAAACGCAGCACAATCCTGGCTTGAGGTGTGTTCTGCTGAGGATTTTCTATAAACGGAAACATTCTGAAATCTCACTGTCTTCAACAGGCCAATCTCTGCATAATTCCAAATCCCATAGGTTGAGTATAATTCGCTCCTGGTGGATGTGAGATTAAATCAGGACTTGACTATTTATTGCCTATATGATTCTCTGATGATCACTTAGCAAACATATCCATCCACGAATTCGCCAATACACTACAGATAGGGGCAGGTGTTTGGCTTCATAGCTAAGAAGCCACTTGGGATGCCTGCATCCCCTACTGGAGTGCCTGGGTTTGAGTTTCACTTTCACTTGTTTTTTCTTTCTAGATTTATTTATTTATTTGAAAGGCCGAGTTACAAAGGCAGAGGCAGAGAGAAAGAGAGAGAGAGAGAGAGAGGTCTTCCATCCCCTGGTTCACTCTCCAAATGCCTGCAACAGCCAGAGCTGGGCCAATCTGAAGCCAGGAGCCAGGAGCTTCTTCCGGGTCTCCCATGCGGGTGCAGGGGCCCAAGGACGTGGGTCATCTTCCACTGCTTTTCCAGGCCACAGCAGAAAACTGGATGGGAAGTGGAGCAGCCAGGACTCGAACTACAGGGAGCTGCTTTTACCTGCTACACCACAGCGCCATCCCCTTCACCTTCACTTCTGCTTTTTATTCCCGCTTCCTTCTAATGTGCACCCTGGGAAAGCAGCAGGTGATAGCTCAAAGACTTAGCTCCTACCACCAATATTAAAGGCCTGGGGGCATTTCTGGCTCCTAGCTTCAGCCTGGCCCAGCCAGGGCTTTTGTGCAGACACTGGAGAGTGAACCACATGAAGGAAGATACTCCTCTCTCTGCCTTTCAAATAAATATAACGGAGATAATGACACTTCCCTCTCCACAAGGTTGTGGAAATTAGATAACTTTTATGAAAGTGCTTCATAGAAACATTTCAAACGGGATTATCAGGCTGCTGATGTCTCAAAAGAGCCCCAGAAAGGCAATGGAATGCTTGTATCACTGCCCTTCAATCAAGTGGGACTCTACATGTGCCAAATGTGGTTAGAGACTTTGGGACAAATGCAGAAATGCCCTGAAGTGACTGTGGAGGAAATGGCTTTTGCCTTTATCAGTGAGTAATTTATATCCTCATAGAGACATCTAAATTCTTTATATCACATGCTTCTCAAAGCAGTTTTGTCTATTTTTTTTGTGGCACTCACTAAAAACCCCCAAGAATTAGGCTTTTCCAATTAAAATGGTTCCACTTGTTTTTATTTTCTCCTTCCTGGAAGAGGCCCATATGAATTTGGAGAATTCTTCTCTGCTTCCCTTGAAGGCCCATCCGGTACAAAGGCCACCTTAGTTGAGAAGCAGGCCCTAATCCTCCACATCAGTCTTCTCTCTGCTTTCTGAACCCACACAGCACTACTGTGCATCTTACTTTGTTTTGTCTTCTAGTCATTTATGTACTGGTCTTAACCTCCACCCCTTCTTCTCCACTTGCCCACTTAATTCACAAACTCTTCACAGTGGAGAAAGCTTCCTTTGTTGCTGTTTTATGTCAGTCCCAATTTATAAGCCTTTTTAAGGAAATTTTCATATATATTTCATGTATATTACATGCATATATAATTTTCATATAGTGTAATAAATGCCTATGTACCCATTACTAAGTTTCAACAGTTAGCAACACATGGACACATGGACAATATGGGACTTCCACTCTTTTTGCCTTCTTACTTTGGATTGTTTTAAAGCAAATCCCAGCCAACCCTTCATTTCATTTGGAAATACCCCAATATGCATGCCACCTTTTGTATTTGCATGTCACCTCCAATCAGAAGATGACTTGCATCTACCTGCGTGCCCTACCACTGGGAACCCACTGGATTATTTCAGAGTGCTTACTAAGTGCCAGACCTCTGGAGGCTCTGTCTGAGCTAGGGAGACACACCAGTTCCAAGTCACGATGTTCCAAACAGAATTGTTACAGCTCCAGGGAGTGAGCCTGGGGCGCAAGTGGGAGTCCAGGAGCAGGACCTGTAATCGCACTAACTGGAGCCAAGTCGCTTTTCTCATCTCCTGCTGACCCTGAATTCAAACTGGCTGTGAGAAGCGGGGTCTCCAGCAGGAGGCGCTGCAAAGGCGGGGGGGTGCAGTTGGGGGAGGACTCGTAGGGGAGGGGAGGGCGCGGGGCTCGCTGTATTCAGCTTCTCCTGCGGGAGCCTGGGAAAGCGGCCAGCCCCGGCTGCGGGTGGAAACTGCAAGCACCAACGCCGTTTAATAGGCGAGCTGGACGCCGAGCGCCAGGGCTCTAGAGGGGCCTCGGGGTTCAGGTGTGGGACAGAGGCGCGGGAACGCGGGGCAGACCCGGCACCTGCTCTCCAGGTCTTCTCGCTGCTGCCAGTTGCTCTGGCCGCCGCCGCTTTCCGCCCCAACTGCCGCTCTTCCTGATAGAAGATCTCAGAGCAGGGCACAGGACAGAGCGAGGAAACACCTGTTTCCAAAAAGAAAAGAGGTGGGGGAAGCCCCCACCAGGCTTCCAATGGCCTCTCATCGAGCTCGCTCTCCAGAGCCTTGTAAAAGTGCGCCCAGAGAGCTAGCGGAGATCATTTTTCAAAAAGATCGCTTTCTATTTCTTACTCCCCCCTCCCTTCTCTCCTGTTCTTGAGTCCTAACGTCCCTTTTCAAAAAAATGTCTTCTTTGCTCCGTGGGGTTTCCCGCTCCTCCCAGACCCCTTAAGGCTCCCGCCTTGGTGTCTGCAGGGACGGTCACCATCTCCAGTCCCACATTTTGCAACTGTATTCGCTTCCGGATTTTTCACTTCCTCAGCCCCCTGCCGATCTACAGGTGGGGAGTGGGACTAGAGGGACAACGAAACAAAGAACCAGGGAGCCCCGGCCCCGGGCCAGATGCCCCTTCCGCAGCCTCAGACCAGCGGAGGAGCAAGAGGGGCTTGGAAGCGCGTGAACCCCACCCGCCCACCCCAGCCTCACTGCTCTTTCCAAAGGCAAGCAGCCCGCGGAGGCGTGGGAGGTGGGGACGGCCCCCGCGCAGCAGAGAGACAGACAGACCCCCACGGAACAGGCCTGAGTGGCCGTGGGCGCCAACAGCCTCCACGCACTGGGCTCCGTTATTTCATCAGCAGTTTCAGAAAAACCTGCCAAAAGCAGTTACGCCTCACTGCAATGTGTAGCTTTTTCCTGCCATTTTTTTTTTTCATAATAAAAGAGGGAGTGAAGCTCGCTCACTCTCTCCCCCCCTCCACCCCCCTCTCCCAAAAAGAGCCAAATGGATACGAGAAGGGGGAAAAAAAAAAAAGAACCCACACACCAATCTCGGAGGGGATGCCAGTGAGGTGTGGCTTGTATTTAAATATCCAATATGTCAATGTAAGGGGAGTGGGTATGTATATAAAGTGCCGTTTGCATCTGATAGCTCGACGAAGCCAGCTATGAGAGACCGGGGGAGATGGATGCGGACGGGAAGCCGCATTTCGACTGAGAGCAAGGTCAGGAGCGCGCTGCCCCACGCTCCCCGCCGCTGAGAAGTTCCTTGGACGCGAACAGACGTCGACTGCAGCTGGGCAGAGCGCGGAGCGAGGGAGCGAGCGAGCGCCGCCGAGTCGCCCGCGCCCGCCGCGGGGAGAGGCAGTTCGCGCCCCGCGGCCCCGGCTCGGCCCGCGCGCGCCCCGCACAGCCTGCGCCGCTGTCGGCCCCGCCATGGCGGAGGTGGGGGGGGTCTTCGCCTCCTTGGACTGGGATCTGCACGGCTTCTCCTCCTCTCTGGGGAACGTGCCCTTAGCTGACTCCCCGGGTTTCCTGAACGAGCGCCTGGGCCAGATCGAGGGGAAACTGCAGCGCGGCTCGCCCACAGACTTCGCCCACCTGAAGGGGATCCTGCGGCGCCGCCAGCTCTACTGCCGCACCGGCTTCCACCTGGAAATCTTCCCCAATGGCACGGTGCATGGCACCCGCCACGACCACAGTCGCTTCGGTGAGCACAGGGCCAGGCCGGTAGGGAGGCGGGCGGACGGCGTTCTGAGGAGCCGACGGCTCCGGGCTCCCGTGCGGGGCCCGCATACTGACCCCGGTTTGGTGCTGTCCGGGCCCGTCCAGGCGGGACGCGACGGCGCGGACCGGAGCCGCGCGGCAACAGGCGCGGGGCACCCCCGGACGCTCCCGGGAGGGGGCGGGGGCGCCCTGCGGTGTGGCCTTTCCTTTCCCCACTCCACCCTCCCTCCCCAGGAGAGAGAGGGGGGCTCCGCTCTGGGAGCTGGACTCTGAGCCTCCACGAAAGCAGGTGGAGCTGGGCGAGGGGTGGGAGTTCTCGCCTTGGAGGCCGGGGACCGTCGCTGCAGTGCTGGGCTGAGCTTTGTGGATAACAGGGCTGTCGCTGTCGCGGCTGATTGCCCGGAGCAGGAGCCTGCATGGGCCATGGGCGTGGTGGGCGTGTGGCTCGCGCCCGAGTCGATTTTGGCGGTGAGGACCTGGCAGCCGCGGCACCTGCCTGCCTCGGGTTGCTCTGCTTAGGGTAGGAGACAATCCAGGCGGCATGGCCTGAGCTGGATATCAGGGAATGTAGAAAAACCTTGCGGTGTTCAACGTGTGAGGGCACAAGTCCTGAGCAAGCTTTTGCCCGGGACTACCTCTGGGCTCCTTGATTCGGTGAGGAAACCGTCCCGGGCCCACTCCCAACCCTCAAAACAGGTGTCTCCCAGCCCCGGGACAGGAGACAGGCAACCTGCATCCAGGTTTGTCTCTCCCTGCCCACCCCTATGCGGGCTGTTCAAAGGACACAGCTGTCTGTCTCACAGAGAACTCATTACACAATTAATAGGAGCCTTGATCTCGGAGAGAGATCGTTAGGTTTCTAAGCAAATGTGTTCACTCATTAATTTGCCATTTTAATTTTCAATTTCCTAGTCTGGTCTCTATTAAGCCATCCTGTGGGTGCTGTGGTGGCTCTCCTCCCCCCCCCCCCACCGTGGCCTCTGCTTTCTCCTAAGGACCCTATAACCCAAGAAGGGCACCTTCTACCCCTAAGGCAGTAAAGAGGCTCTGCCTACCCTCCAAGCAACAACCTTGTTCTTTTCTTGTCCCCACCCTTCCCCCACGGTCTCCCAAACCGCTCCATCCTATTCGTGCCTTGCTAGAGCTGCATCTTAGAGTGCACAGTAAAGCAGGGGGCCTAGGGGCCACTCGCTCGGTAAAGCAGTGTCTAGCAAACAACTTAGGGCCAGGGTTGCTCTTCCTTGCTGGGAGCAGGCAGGAAACCTAATGAGGTCTATGTCATCTTGGAAAAATGCACTCAAATGGAGCTGGAGTACAGTAGGTTGGGAGGGGTAATGGAGGGGTGCAGGTGTCTGTATAAACTTGCAGCAGGTCCTCCAAAGGCTGATAAGGTGGGGTGGGAGGAGGAGGAGTGCTCACTTGGCTCCTTTCCCTCCCATCGCTTGTGAGTTTTGCAGTCCTCATCATAAGGAATAAGACTTGCACCCTGACCTGAGAGACCCCCAGAAATGGCCTAAAGACACTGGGATAGGTCCTTGCTGCTACATAAAAGAAAAGCCAAGATATGATGGAGAAATTCAGAGTGGGGGCAGCAAAGGTGGAGGAACTGTGAGCATAGCTCCCAGCGGTTAACAAGTGTTTGTCTGACTCTGTGCATAAGCAGAGCCCAATAACCTAGAAGGTCAACATAAATCAGTAATAGGCTCTTGGGATAAGTGGTCTTTAATTACCTCCCTAAAGACACATCTTGATTTCTTTTCATCTCCCAGACCTGCTAAGGGTGTTAAGATTAAGGAGAAACCAAAGGAAATAAAACTGGCAGGAGGAAGGGATGTTTTCGCTGCTGCTTAACTGATGGCTTCATTTTTGGTTTTGCCTTTTAAACTCGTACACACACACACACACACACACACACGTACACATACACATACACACACACACACACTGCCTGAGACCACCTCTGCATCACCTTTTCCCTTTTCTCCTTCTCTGACTTCCTGGAAGTTCCATGTATTTCCTGTAAAGGAAATGATAACTGGTCAAAGCTGTCTCTTTGCAACCTCCCCTGCCAACTTTCAAACACATACTTACTCTTTTCTCAGTTTAGCTTTTGGCACAGAAAGAGGTGGCGTTCGCGTTTGCTAACCCTCTCCTCCCTCCACGTTTGAGTTAATCAGCCAGGGTATTCAATAAATCGAAACGTTAACATTCCATAAGTGCTTTAGCAGTCAACATTCCAGCAGAGTAAAGTAGGCCAGACTTAAGATATAAAATATTATAGATTTCTGCTTGGGGGGAGGAGGTAGTCTCCAAAGGCCATGTAAAGTAAATAGCTATTTGTTGTAATTGGAGAGCAGGGCCCCCAAGGATTACCCTGGAATCCATGTGTTCAGAACGAGTCAGGCTGAGCCCAAGAGCAGCCCCGACTCCAAATAATAACCTGTTGGCATAGCATATGCTCCCCGCTCTCCATCTGCAGTCAGTAGCCAGGAGTATTTCAATCCCCGCCTGGCTGGTGGCGTTTACACGAGGTTCACAGAGATCCTGACATTCCTGAGGGGCACCTGTGGACCGGCAGCACTGAGCTTGGGAGCCAGACTGGAGGAGAGGCCTCCTGCCAGGTGGGATGGAGCAGGCTCATGCAGCTGCTTGGGTTTTCCAGTGAGCTGGTTCTTATTTGGCACAATGCCAAAGCAGCACCGTCTTGGCCCTGAAGGTCTGAAAAGGTGGCTGAGGGAGCTCAGGCCAGTTGTGGAACCAGATTAAATGACATATTAGCCATTCATGTCGCTGGGTTCTGAAGCAGTGGGGCCCAGGACAAATCCATTTTGATTGAGGCCCTGGAGAGAGAGGTGTAAGAAGAGAAGAGTCTGGAACTTGTCGAGAGAAGGCCAGAGCCTGAGGTGCACAGGTCAAGATGGGGCAGCGTAGAGGGAAGTCCTGGGCCATGAAGGGGTAAAAGTACTGAGGACGATTTTTGCCTACTTAACACTGTGCCTCAACACTTTGCTGTTAACACCCCTGTCCAGCTGTGGCTGGGAAAATAGGAAAATGGCTTGTTTTCTCTCCCCGTTCATGCTGGCAGGGACTCAGGAGAAGGTTTAGGAATATCTGTTCCATCATCATGTGTCCCTGGGTTCCCACAGTCTGAATCCAGCTAATAGGAAAGTTGGCAGAGGGAAATGATGCCCAGAGACAGCTGGGCAGGGACGATTCCAGCTGTTGGAGACCCCTGTTCCTGGACCCAACCCAAGTGACTTCCTGTATGATCTGTCCTTTGGCATCGGGGTGAACACTGAGTTGGAGAAAAACGGTGGTGACTCAAATGGCCACACCTCTTGGGTTTCATGATTTGTTCTCACACCGGGTCTGGGGCGGTGAGATCACAAGCTGTCCTGTGCTACTTAATGAGCTCAGGGTAGTTGGAGACATGAGACACTTAGGGAAGGAAGGAGGGAACCAAGGCTCGAAGCTCGGAAGTCAGCTGCCTGAACAAAGCAAAGAACGCAGGCTCCAGGACGCTGGTGTCCCTTCCAGGGTAGCCCTCACAGCTGCGTCATCACCTGCTTCCCACTTTCCCAGCCACACTGGCAGCGCCACTTTGAACACGCCCCTGTTCTGCCAGATCCCTCTCCCAAACAGAGTACAACCACCCACCGGAGACTCACTGTAGTCCAATCAAGGCAGAGCAGAGTGGGCCAGTCCCCTCCACGGTGCTAGTTACTAGATCTCTAGCAATGCTGCCTTAGCTCACAATGACTTTTAACCCTTTTTCTATTTTTCACTAACTTTTGAATGATTTTTTTTATTTTTACGTGACCAATTGTTTTTTAAGATTATTTATTTACTTGAAAGTCAGTTACATAGAGCGAGAAGGAGAGGCAGAGAGAGACAGGTCTTCCATCCACTGGTTCACTGTTCAGATGGCTGCAATGGCCAGAGCTGCGCTGATCCAAAGCCAGGAGCCAGGAACTCCTTCCGGGTCTCCCATGTGGGTGCAGGGGCCAAAGGACTTGGGCCATCTTCCACTGCTTTCCCAGGCCATAGCAGAGAGCTGGATCAAAAGTGGAGCAGCCAGGACTTGAACCCGTGCCCATATGGGATGACAGCACTGCAGGTGGCAGCTTCACCCGCTACGCCGAAGTGCTGGCCCCTATGTGACCAATTTTACATTAACTTTTCCATAATCCTGCGAATCACCCAGCACACTGAGCTTACTCTAGTCATTCAAATCCTGTAAGCTAGTGTGTGTGTTTTGCTAAACTACACCTGCCCATTGAAGAGATGGGCAGACTTGCATATAATGAAGGTGCTCAAAAATACAAAATAATGGTCCATAGTTTCAAAAAAAAATATATGGGCCGGCGCCGCAGCTCACTAGGCTAATCCTCCGCCTATGGCACCAGCACCCTGGGTTCTAGTCCCGGTCGGGGCGCCGGATTCTGTCCCAGTTGCTCCTCTTCCAGTCCAGCTCTCTGCTGTGGCCTGGGAGTGCAGTGGAGGATGGCCCAGGTCCTTGGGCCCTGCACCCACATGGGAGACCAGGAGGAAGCACCTGGCTCCTGACTTTGGATTGGTGCAGCGCACCAGATGTGGCGGCCACTGGCGGGGTGAACCAACGGCAAAAGGAAGACCTTTCTCTCTGTCTCTCTCTCTCACCGTCTAACTCTGCCTGTCAAAAAAAAAAAAAAAAGAATATATATGGTTGCCTGAAGTGGGGAGGCAGATGGAAGCAGGGAATGGAGGTAAACAAAGAAAGAGATCACACAACAGCTCTTGCCCAGACCAGTTATGGCAATGGGCTATAGACTAAGGGGTGTGGTTAATTCAGCTGTCTGCACTTGAGGCTTCCCCACTCCCAACAGAACCCCAAACACAAAACACCTCAGGAAGTTGATTTTGGGGACTAAAGTGCAAGGCATGGATTCTCATTAAGTTTATTTTGCTGGCATCAACCCACTTGCCCATTGTTCTGAAATTGTTCTGGATCTTGAGTATCTCATCACTCTCGGCTGAATGTCTTTGGAGGCCAGGATAAGCAGTCTTCCTATGTCCACTTACAAGTCATTAAAAATCTAACCAGGGCAGACCCCTACCTGGCAGTAGCCATTTCCCCTTCCCTCCTGCCTCTGTGTGTCAGTTTCTTTTCTCAGGACTCCTTTCTTTTTTAACTTTTTATTTATTTATTTGAGAAGTAAAAGGAGGGAGGGTGGGAGAGAGTGCGAGCGAGCTCCCACCCTCCAGTTCACTCCCTGGATGCCTGCAGTAGCCCCAGGCTGGAGGCAGAAGCTGGGAGTCAGGAACTCAATCCAAGTTATTTGAGCCATCACCTGCTGCCTCCCAGTGTGTGCATTAGCAGGAACCTGGAATCAGAAGGGAAGCCAGGATTCAAACTCAGGCACTCTGATATAGGATGCAGGTGGCCCAAGCGGCATCTTAACTGCTAGGCCAAAGGCCCACTGTTCAGGACTTCTTTCCTTGTGCTGCAAGAGTAACAACCAAACTGAGACTAAAACTTGGAAGATTCCAATGCCAGAAGCCAAAGGCCAAAACCCTGAGTGTTCCACAGACCAACAACTGAAGTACCTTACATTCTTCAAGTAGATCTTTGGTATGCATCAAAGCTGCCATGTCAGAACACCCACCCACCAGCCCAAGCCACTGGGGCTCTGCAGGAGACTTCTCACTGGAGTTTTGAACCCATTTTCACAATTAACCACTTAAAATTTTTGATCATTAAGGAATCATTCCCAATCTCTATAGAGTATTATTACCCTTAAGAATTTCATTTTTAGATAAGAAAGACAGCCAGATATGAACTCATTTCAAAGCTTTGGATGCCTCCGACAATCATATCAAGTTTTTGGTCTGTGTGTTGAAAAATGTGGTTAGAGACAGCAATACCAGAGGCGAATCTAGTTGGCTATTATGTCTGTATCCAGATAATAATGCAGAGATGTGCTATCTGAGGACACAACTGCAAAGTCTTCCGTATGATCAGGGTTTCATTTCTGGGTCTTTTCCCCTCATAGTAGTTGATTATTTTTTTTTTAATTTTTCTCCTGCTGAAAAGGAAAATATTTTCAAATCTTCACCTCTAACCTTGTCAGCTAAAAGGACATTTCTGGATCTCTCCCCTTTCCCCTTAAAGTTGCAACATCTTAAATCAGTATCAAATCCAGTACTACCTGCCAACTCTTTGCCATGGATAAACTTAAAATTCTCAAGAGAGAAGGGGAGAATGACAGGCTTGTCAGCTTGGGGCTGTACTAGCTGAGAACACTTTTTAGGAGAGAGCTCTCATGAGGCCAAGTATTCCCTCCTGACAGAAGCAGAGGGAACAAACTGAGTGAGTGGCCTGTGTGGCCTTTGTTAGAATCAGCTACTGGCAGTTGACAGCCTCATGTGGCTTTAAGGACATGGGAGCTGAGAGGGTGCAAAACAAGTTCAGTGTAGAGGACAGCGAGGCAATGCTGTGTGCCCTAGTGAGGAGGGAGATGACTTTGAGAGAGATACAGAGCCTGGCTTCATTCTTGCTTTTAGCAGGCTGCCCTCCCATTTCTTGAAATGGTGGTATCTGATAGCAGTAGCACCTTGTAATCAGGCAGCTTGCGTAGGCAAAGGCTTCTTGATGGTCTCTTCCTCCACATGTGCCTACACATGTTGAATAGAGACAGAGACTGTCTCCCCACCTTACAGATGGAAAGACCGAGGCCCAGAGAGACTGAGGGGCTTCTTTGTGGTTCTGATCTTGCTGTCAAAGATGGTTTATTCGGGCCATTCACCAAAGGCACACAGAGCTGGCTTCTAGTTAGGGATGAATGACTAGTAGCTCACATCATAGCTCTTGGCTTGATATTAATAATGGGAATGGTGTTCAATTTTTTTGCCCTAGGGATCCTGGAATTTATCAGCTTGGCTGTAGGGCTGATCAGCATCCGGGGAGTGGACTCTGGCCTGTACCTTGGAATGAACGAGCGAGGGGAACTATATGGGTCGGTAAGTTTAAGGTTTTCTTTTCATCGGGGGCTATTACCACTGGTGTTTGGGACAATGTAAGGCAGAAGTATAAAAACATTTATCTAGCTAGCACTCAAAAGGACTTTTGTCAACTGTAAAGGATTAGTGTCTTCTAGCGACTTCTTGGCCACCCAGGGCTTTGCTACTTGACACCTTCCCTTTTGCGGCCCCTCATCAAAGCATAAGCTTTTCTGTGGTACATTTGCTTTAACCTTCTCCATTTGAGGGGCAGTTAGTCTGATGATAACCATCAGCCATGCTGGTGTGTCAGGAGATGCTCAGGGTTTGGGGCATTAACTCTCCCAAGGAGCACTTCTGAATTTTACTGGGTGTCCAGAGGAACTGCAGACTAGCAGGTGCAAAAAAACAAATGAGCAAACAAACAAAAAGCAGTGGAAGAGCTGATCTTCAGACTGAGGATCCTGAGGTTAACCACAGTCCTCATCTCCAGATTGCTTCAGCTGAATCCCAAAGCCAGATGAAATAAACACATGAAGAAGGAGGGTCCCAGGGTCTGGTGACAGCCCTAAGCCCCCACTAGGACTGGGCAGGCTGCAGTGTCGTTTCTCTGTCCTGGAAGCTAGCCCAGCAGTGGGGACTGGTGAGTGACTTTGCTGACCTTAACCCTTTCAGGGTATCCCAACTCCTGGCTCTGACTTTTGAGTCACATAGCATGCTTTCTGGCTGCCCACACCCCATGAAATCAGAACACATTTTTCCCTGACACCTACGAGATAGGCCTGTCCCCAGCACTCAGTATCGGCAACCTCAGCAAGTAGTATGGCGGCCGGATCAAGTGTGAGAAGGGACAGAGGCAAGAGACCCAAGAGCTGCCAGCTTGAAGTAGCCAGATTGGAGGGGCTTTTCAAGGAGATCTTTTCTGAGCTTTCCAACTGACAAGCCTGAGACCCTTCATTAGGAGAGATCACAGCTCACCTCCCATGGAGCTTTATATAGATCTGAGGCCTTTGCCTGTCAGTTAACGTGGTTGGCTGTAATCTCAATGGATTTGAACATTATTAGCCCTAAGTAGGGAGAAAGCTCAGTGGGTGCCAGCAGGGCATTGGAAGGCTCCAGCAGAAATTCTCAGGCTCAAAGAGGCAGGTAAGGCCATCTCTTCCAATCTCATCCCTTCATAAAAGATCTCACCTAAACCATTTTTGTGTGGCTCGTGAAAGAGGATGAAGGAGATGCAGACAGGAGCATTTAATGCTCTTTAGAAGAAAGATACCCCTGTAATGCAGGGAGATGGAGCTGAATTTTTATGGTAGCAATGGGCTATTGCTGTTTCATGATTTCTCCACCAGCAAGCAGGGATGGGAGAGACAGACGTATAATGGCCTCTGCTTGATTTTCTCCCCCTCACAGAAGAAACTCACACGTGAATGTGTCTTCCGGGAACAGTTTGAAGAAAACTGGTACAACACGTATGCCTCCACCTTGTACAAACACTCGGACTCGGAGAGACAGTATTATGTGGCCTTGAATAAGGACGGCTCACCCCGGGAAGGATACAGGACTAAGCGACACCAGAAATTCACCCATTTTTTACCCAGGCCAGTAGATCCTTCTAAGTTGCCCTCCATGTCCAGAGACCTCTTCCGCTATAGGTAATGGACCCTAGCGTGACTCTGTGACCCATGTACTCTGGGGGCCGTAGTTGTCTCTGCAAGCACTATACTCATAGCTTTTCAATCCTTCCTTCCTATCAATTTAGATAACAGAGAAGCACTTACTGTTCAACTCAACCCAGTTGTTCCCTGGTTGTTCAAAGTGTATATCAAGGTTGGGTTATTTTGGGGAGGGCAGTGGGGGAGGGGGTGGGCTCAAGGGAATCTTGTATATATGTTTTTCTTTACTCATGTTCTTTCCCCTGAGGTGGCATGGCAAAGAATGGAGGCTCCTGCCAAGGGCCAGGGGTGTCTTGCCCCACAATCTACCCAAATTCCTTGACAATGGGTATAAATGAAAGACCAAGGAATCTGCCATAGATGCTACCTACAGAGTTTTGGAAAAGTCTCTTTAAGAAAATCCTTGGGGCTCCAGCCCTGCTGCAAGCCATCCCTGCATTGGCATTGCAGATTTCTCATCTGTCCTGACATGCAGTTTTCCTGCCATTGGAAGTGGGAGATGGGGTAGGTTGTACGAAAATGATATTAAAATGTAAGCATGGATACTGTGCATAAGGACAAACTATTTATGAAATGTATATGCTATTTATTTTATATATTTATTTATTTCAAAATAATTTTATTTTTAATGAGAGATGCTATGACTGGATTTTCATCAGAAAGAATAAGGTCCTACTGAAACAGGATAAAATGAGTTATTAAAGGCTTTTATTGGCAATAAAATTGTCTTTATATTGTAAATAGCTGTCTAATTCTGTTGATTTGTACATTTAGGATGATTAGAAGTTTGGCCACTTCTTTCTCCCCAACTTATTATCATTTCCTGATGTCGGCATCACACCACCTGTGCTGGAGGAACAGTATGTTTGCGTCATTTAGAGGCCCTATGTGAAGTCATGTTGGTCTTTTCTGGCTCTATGACTTGAAACTTGTGAATTGGCCGGCACCGCGGCTCACTAGGCTAATCCTCCCCCTGCGGCGCCAGCACACCAGGTTCTAGTCCCGGTCAAGGCGCCAGATTCTGTCCCGGTTGCCCCTCTTCCAGGCTAGCTCTCTGCTGTGGCCCAGGAGTGCAGTGAAGGATGGCCCAAGTGCTTGGGCCCTGCACCCCATGGGAGACCAGGAGAAGCACCTGGCTCCTGGCTTCGAATCAGTGCGATGCACCAGCCGCAGCGCGCCAGCCGCGGCAGCCATTAGAGGGTGAACCAACGGCAGAAAGGAAGACCTTTCTCTCTGTCTCTCTCTCACACTATCCACTCTGCCTGTCAAAAAAAAAAAAAGAAGAAGAAGAAAAAAAAAGAAAAGAAAAGAAAAAAAGGAAAAAGAAACTTGGTGAATCAAAGTTGCAGGAAGGCCTGGACCATCAGTTCCTGTAGAAGCTCCCACTTATGCTTAGGACTAGGCATAGAGCAAGCCTCCTTTGGGATTTGGTGACAGCCCAAAACTCTAGGGTCAGAAACCCTAATTGGTGGCTTTTTACCTCAGACATGAAAATGAAGGGATTCCAAATAAACAACAATCAACAGAGAGATGGAATTTTTTGAGCCAGTCAGTTTCCCTTCTGGAGATGTTCTCCCAATCCTCCACTTCTCACCCACCCCGCATCTGCTTCCAGTGCTTCTGGAGAATTCTGGGAAGTTGTCAATACATCCCCCTAAGCAGTAGTGCTCAGAGCATATGGTCTCTTGACCAGCAACATCATCAGAGAACTTGTTAGAAATGCAACTTAGCCGCAATTCTGGGAGTGGGACCCTGTAACCTGCAGCTTAACAGTCCTAGAAGATCTCTGTGCATGATACATTTTGACAAAAAGCAATGCGTTTTTACTTTTTTTTTTGCAGATGAATAGCTTATAAATAAAGTTATAGGGTAAGTTTGGCCTGTAAAACAAAAGTAGAGAAAAGTAGAATGGCTCTAGCTGAAGTGGGGATGGCACTCTTGGGTTCCCTCTTCCCCAGAACAGCCCCTGAGCTATCTTTCCCTGGCCTCTTTACTGATATTTACTGAGGTAGAAGCATAGGATTATTTGCAGTTTTCATAATGAGAATATTGTCAGGAGACAAGGACCAAAAGGAGAAAAGCTTCATTAAGTGCGCAGGTATCATGAAGGCCTAGCAGGAGATTTTTGGTTTGGGACAGTTTTTTCAATGTAGCCATCCACTACTCCTCCAACCAATTGTATGAGTGAAACTCATAGCTTAGGAACCAACTCACTTAAAAAACAAAAGCATAAAAAATTTAAAATAAGTAAAACTGAAAGGTCTATAAAAGCTCACCGAAATCTAAGTACCCAACAAGGAGGCCACACATGAAATAGCAAGTAAGACTGTATGTATGATTTAAAAATGCTCAGTTACATACCTTGTGTGATCATCAGCTTGAAAGCTAATTAATGGAAGCACCAAAGTGGAGACCTCAGTGGGCTAGGGTGATTAGGGTGGATTTGCTCCTAAAGGTAATGCCTGTTATGAAGAAGGAAAAGGATTTGTAGAAACACGGAGGCTGGTGGTGATGTTCATGTTGGGCTGTAAGGAGACACCATGTCTAGAAGTCTCTGGGAGAAGTCTAAAAATCACCTAAGTGACATTTAATCACATTTAAAAATATATCTGAGAGGCAGAGGGGTGGGGAGAAAGAACTCTCATCCATTGGTCCACACCCCAAATGCCCACAATGACTGGGAGTGGACTGGGCTGAAACCGAGAGCCAGGAACTCAATCCAAGTCTCTCATGTGTGTGGCAGGGACCCAATTACCTGAGCTATCACCATTGCCTCTCGGTCTGCATTAACAGAAAGCTGGGGTCAAGAGCTGGAGCTAGGTATCAAACCCAGGTATTCTGATATGGGACATGGGCATCTTAATCAGCATCCTATAGGCCGGCACCGCGGCTCACTAGGCTAATCCTCCGCCTTGCGGCACCGGCACACCGGGTTCTAGTCCCGGTCGGGGCGCCGGATTCTGTCCCGGTTGCCCCTCTTCCAGGCCAGCTCTCTGCTGTGGCCAGGGAGTGCAGTGGAGGATGGCCCAAGTGCTTGGGCCCTGCACCCCATGGGCGACCAGGATAAGTACCTGGCTCCTGGCTCCCGCCATCGGATCAGCGCGGTGCGCTGGCCGCAGCGCGCTGGCCGCGGCGGCCATTAGAGGGTGAACCAACGGACCTTTCTCTCTGTCTCTCTCTCTCACTGTCCACTCTACCTGTGAAAAAAAAAAGTTTAAAAAAATCAGCATCCTAACCAATAGATTAAATGCTAGCCCCGTCACATTTTTAATGAGCATCACACCTTTAATTTAAATCCAAAATCTTATCTGTGTTCAGCTACAAAGAACATTTGATACACAGCCACTGTTAAGGACTTATGAGCTACATGAGATCTATCAATAGGAAGCTGGCACTTCCCTGTGAGCAGGGCCAGTGTTATTCAAAGGCATTTGACATGGGGTTGGCAAGGCCAGAAGCACTATATTTGCAGGGAAGGATTTGCAAGAAAAATGTCATTGTTTAAAAATAAAAGGTAATATCCCCAAATCCTAGGTCAATACTTGGATTTTCCTCTAGGAGGAAGGGAAAGAAGACTAGGAGAACAGTATAGGGTCCTAGGGTGCAGGAGAAGCTTGCTCTTTATATTGAACTTTGAGGGATAACAATGAAAGGGATATGTGACCAGAAAATGGCAATAGGCAGCTGTTCTCATTTTCAAAATGATGGGAAAGGGAAATTCTAGAAATGGAAATGCAAGATGGATGACTTAGTACCACTAGATCAATCAACAGCTGATTTTTTTTTTTTAGATTTATTTATCTGAAAGGCAGAGCCACAGAGGGAGAAGCAAAGAGAGAGAAATCTTCCATCCACTGGTTCACTCCCCAAATGACCACAACATCTGGGGCTGAGCCAAACAGAAGCCAGGAGCCAGGAGCTTCATCCATCCAGGTCTTCTACATGGTGCAAGGTTCCAAGTACTTGAACCTTGCTTTCTCGGGCGCATTAGCATGGAGCTACATTGGAAATGGAGCAGTAGGGTCTTGAACTGTCACCCATATTCCTGGGATGCCGGCATTGCAGGCCACGGCTTAACCCATTATGCCACAATGCTGGCCCCAATCAACAGCTGACTAATACCATATCCTTAAAGTGCTATGGTAATGGATTTTGTGTCAACCTAAAGGAAATTACAGAATAGTAAGCTCCTGGAGTGGGCGTTCAGCCTAGCAGTTAAGATGCCTGTGTCCCACACTGGAGTGTCTGGGTTAAATTCCTAGGTCTAGCTCCTGACTCCAGCTTCCTGGTAATGCAGACTCTGGGAGGCAGCAGGTGATGGCTGAAGTAACTGGGTTCCTGCCACCCACGTGGGAGACCTGGATTAAGTTCCTGGCTCCCACCTTTGGTCTGACCCAGCCCTGGCCATTGTGGGCATTTGAGGAATGAACCAACATAAAGGAGCTAGCTAGCTATCTATGTCTGTCTCTCTACCTCTTAAATAAATACAAATAAGTTTTTTTTTAAAGATTTATTTTATTTATTTGAAAGGCACAGTTACAGGTGGGGTGAGGGTGGAGGAAGAGAATAATTTTCCATCCATTGGTTCACTCCCCAAATGGCTGCAATGGCCAGGGCTGGGCCAGAACAAAGCCAGGATCCAGTAACTTCTTCCAGGTCTCCCACATGGGTGCAGGGGCCCAAGCACCCGGGCCATCCTCCACTGCTTTCCCAGGCCATAGCAGCGAGCTGGATCAGAAGTGGAATAGCTGGGACTCCTGAGATCATATGGGATGCTGGCATTGAAGGGGGTGGCTTTACCCACTGTGGCACAACACTGACCCCAATACAAATAGTTTTTTAAAAGGTAAATTTATTTTTTAAAAAAAGAACAGTAAGTCTGGAGCTCTAGTTTTAGATGAAAACATGTGCAGAGACCAATTTTTATTCTTCATCTCTGCGTCCCTTTCATCCATTCCCAGAGTTTTAGGATGTTCCTGGAACAGAACAGGTACTTGAAAAATGTTTGTTGAATAAATGAATGGTTAGTTGAAAGAGTGAATGAGTAGAACCTGTGTTGTGGCATAGCAGGTTAAGCAGCTGCCTGCAACACCAGCACCCCATGTGGACATTGGTTCATGTCCATGTCTCTGCTGTTCCACTTCCGATCCGGCTCCCTGCTAGCATGCCTGGGAAAGGAGCAGAAGATGGCTGGAGTCCGTGGGCCCCTGCACCCATGCGGGGGACCCAGAAGAAGCTCCAGGCCCTGGCTTCAGATTGGCGCAGCTCCGCTGTTGCAGCCATTTGGGGAGTGAACCAGTGGATAGAAGATCTCTCTGTCTCTTTCTCTCTTTTTCTCTCTCTCTCTTTCTCTCTCTCTCTCTCTCTCTCTCTCTCTCTCTCTCTCCCTCCCTCCCTCCCTCTTTTATTCTCTCAGTGTATGTGTGTGTGTCTTTCAAATAAGTAAGTATATATAATCTTTTTAAAATGAATGAATGAATAAGCAAAGACATAGATGCCTTCTTTAGCAAATGTGTATGTGATACAAACGCTGGACGAGAGAAAGTACATTATGTAACAGAACCATCTGAAGTGTTAAGATCTGATTACAGTTAAATGGGCACAATGACAAAGTAGGGTGTGTCTTGGGAAAGAGAGTGAGTTCCCTGTCACTGGAGGAAGCCTCTAAGCAGACACAGGACAACCACCTGACAAGGATATTGAGTCGTTTAGAGCAGATAGGGTGAAAAGTATATAAAGAT